GTTTAATACCAATAATTAGACCCCAACAATTCGAGACTAGTTGTTCGACAAGCGAGCTTGCAAACATCGCAAGCACCTCCAGAAAACGACTAAGTAGCTTGACTGGGCATGAGCAATTAAGAAGAGTACTGTCCTCCTTCGAGGGTTAAGGTCCCTCGAAATGAGTAGATATGTCGGCCACGGAGACCTCACCGAAGGAAGGGATGTCTATGCTCTAGCGATCTTTTGAAGTGACATTGAAGTACGTAGTCGTAAGTATCTGTACCCAGGATTGACTTCTGATAGTTAGTTGATATGCGGGAGCCGAATGGATTGCCAAGGCTACCGGGTTCGACAACTGTCACGCTAGGAGAATGAAGGCTCTTTAGAAAGGCGCTAAAGTCCCGATGGTCCTATTCACACTATTGAACCTAAACTCGCCGCCGTTACACTAGCTTCCGCCATACAGCCGTTCTGAGCAGAAGCTCTGTTATGATTCTATCTGCTCAACGTGCGGCCGTTTGCAATATCAAGGCAACCATCCCGTACTCCAGCATTTTAGTCCCAGGTATTCGCCCTAGTTTCGCTTAAGTAGACTGCTTTGAGCAGCACCCCTTGCCCATGGCCTGGCAGCGATATTTTTGCTGCCCCTGGCCAATTTATTGTCACTTGAAGCCATGAAGTATTAATCTCTTACTCCCTTCGATGGCTAAGGGAGAATGCGAGGTACAGCAGTGTGGAGTTGACGGCCTCTTCCCAGCAGCAACTATCCGTATCCAGTAATACGTGCTTCCATGGAACTGAATCCGCCTACAGAGGGAAGGCTACAATGTCTCCTAATTCTCTGGTTCAGAAATCAGCATACACACTACTTAGTCGCAATAGCAGTAGAGCACATGCACAACGTGGCCTTTACTCAGAGTCAAAGTTACGCTTTCGAACAGACTGAGGGCTCAAAATCTCCGGACCTAGGAAAATCAACGCACAATCACCCAACACCTAACGCGGACAAGTAGAACCGGTTCATCCGATCACTGTTGAAATGGATGTGGATATGATAAAAAGCCGTGGAAAGGGAGAATACGTTCGGGTCAGGCTTTCAGACATGATCACGTCTAGCCAGGTCTGATGAGGTCTGACTAATAGATACCAATTTCTGAAGGTCTAGAAAGCCTCTTGTGAAAACTCCGGGGAACACAGAGCGCATCTGTCGCTGGAAGCGGGAAGTGTCCCATGCTACACGTACTGTGTATTCGTCCCCAAAAGGACTCGTTTGCATGGCGTGGAATACCGGAATCCTCCAGTCGTGGCGGCGTGCAATGACGGACCTTGGCTACTCGATATGGAGCTCAAAGAGCGTCCCTGGCATGGCGAGATGCCAACAAGTGGGACGCCCTCTCGAGTATGTCGAATCCATGGATGTCTTCCCAAAGTGCCTCACATGTGGCGTTCACGTTGGTGCCTGGCAGACCCCATCATCTACTACGTATGCAGGCAATAATTCCCAATACTTCGGACACAAATCAGCTCGTCCAATGCCAGGATCCTTCGCAAAGCCCTGTCACCAACATAATAGCAATGCGAATTCTTGACCAACTGGCAATGGAGTTCACTAAGTGAGTCGATTCATCACTTTCTCGCCTGTTGCCTCGCATCATCCCACATCGGTCGAGGCAAGTACCCGAACGGGTAGCTGCGCATACCACATGTCGTCGACATATGAGCTTCCACTCGACGACGTTGCCATCGACGCCTCTTTGATGGGCCGTTTTCCCACACTATCCAAGGACCGTTGAGAAATCCTAAGACGCCACTATCACTGGTCCAGTCCAATCCGGTCCCCTTGCTTGCATGACCAGGGCTAACGCACTTGGTCCCTATGCTGTCACTTCTCACTCGCCAACAGCCTTTATGGGTCCTCTTATCCGCCCCCTGAGGGTCGGTCATCAAAAGCTCTTCTCGCTGCATGTCCTCCCCGGCTTCACTCGAGGGCCGGGGCTCCGCTGGCGTCGCATTCGAAATTCCCAGAGATTCGTTCGAGAGTCCAGACTTTGTACTCTCCTAACCAGGCTACTCGCTACGTCCCCTCGCTACCGTTCTACGAAAGAGTCGGGAACTCGGAGCAAATGTCAACAGGCAGTCCCAGGCACGGCGAAGGGGCCCGTCCTTCCTTAGCGATGAGCTTTGATAGGGTGTAACGACATCGGCGTTGAACATAGCCGTAATGTGATACATCTTGCTTCGGGGGCGGCATCTTGATCCGGCAGTCTGGTCGGGAGGGCACCTGGAGTCCTGGACTGTCCAGAGAACTGCGAGGCGCGTTGCACACAGTGTGATATGATCTGGCATGCCCAAGCATGAAGTACTTCGTATAGGTACCGATATACATGATGCCGTGCGTACGCGGGACAGTCGTCCAATGCCAGCCATAGGATAGCGTGATTGTTATGCATGGCTGTGGCTCCCTTGTTGAATATAGACGAGTGGGAATTGCAGGGACATGCACACGACAAAAACCTGCGCTGCCCTGTCAGCGCAGCTTTACAAGAACCAGACTGCCGGGCAGATGGTATCGAGAAGGAAAGAGGGGTGAAAAGGCAGGGCGGGCATGGTAATCACTGATCGGAAGACATGAGGTGAATCCGAGCCAACATTCGGGGATCGGAGTATTGCTAGTAAGCGCGGTTCGATCTGATGTTCAGCTGTCAAATGGCACCAGTCAGAACTTTGAATGGTGAGGTTGGTTGGTAACTGGTTAGGCCAACCCGCTAGTCAAACTTAAGACTAGTACGCCAGCAACATGACGGTAGAGTAACGTTCCATTTCGAGGTTTTTTTTCTGGAAGATTGTATGAATACAGTCCACCGTCAATTCTGACGCGCTCCCTGACACGCACTCTCTCTGTCAGTCTCGACTTTCGTCAGACGGTCAGAGTCGTCACCTCCTCGCCTTTCGGTAGCAGTTTCGGGAAACAGAAACGCACGAGATGGGCTCCAATAATCTAGGTGACACGGAACGCGGCGCTTTACCGAATGTATGACTTTGTAGCGAAAGGGGAGGCAAATCACCGAAGAATATCCATGTTACGTGCTTGCAGTAGGAGGACGAGGGTGTCTGTACCAGTGTACGTACTTTGTCGTGTATCCGGCGTGCTGTGCCGCAACCTTGCATCGCTGAGGCATGGGTCGCTGGCTGCGGGCGAAAGAGAACAGGAAGACGCCTGAGTAAAAAGTCTGATCTGCGACCGATGTTACCATCTTCGGTGCATCGTTTTGCCCAGCGTTGGCGATTAATCATGAGAGTAAAGTACTGATGGAGACGGTGGATATCTAAGAGGGGCGAACGATATAGCAAGAAGGTCAAGATGCGATCCAAGACGGACTCTCGTCGCCCAATTTGTTGCTCTTAAGTGTTTGGATACGGCGAAGCATCAGAAACCTGGTGCTGGTCATGATGTGAAGACAGCCAATAGGCCGACTGAGAGTGCGAGGAGGCTTGATGTTTGAGGACCAGGTATTCCTTGTGAGCTTGTACCATGGTTGCGAGAGAATGAGGTCAGTGAATTATCCTTGAAGAAACCGCCATGAGTGGTCGTGAGAGGCGCGGCTGCTGCGCTAGATTACCACATCTGTTCCGTGTATTCAGTACTCCGTACAAGGCCTCAGTGGAGTTACGGCATTGTTTCCCGGGAGCCTCCACTGGACGAGAATGCTTAGCCAAACACAGGCGAGAAGAGAGATGTGGGAAAAGCCGTCTTTTGAAAGAGTGGTTCTGGGGGAAGGGGGGGGGGGGCTAGCTTCACTACAAGGTTGTTGGAGTTGAACTCCGTAAATAGGGAGAATGGCCTTGAACGCCTGAAAAGGCACAGCAACACGAAATCTCCCACTTTTCTCTTTGGGCTGTGGGTTCCTCGGTGGAATTACGTACGGGCCCTGAGGTGAACTTTTGCAATTCAGCCCTTCACTTCGTCTACCCCCACTTCTTTTAGCCTGTCCGAGATTAGCGGTCCTGGGGGTTGGTCTGGCATCCCCTGCGCTCGAGCGAGGTACACTACTTTGGCCGCCTCAACCTCCCCCAACTCCCTTTCTGTCTCGATAACTCGCCAATGATTGTGATGAGCTGGCGCTCAACCAAGCGATTGGAAACTAGAGAGTTTTGGAAAATAAGGGCTATCGTCAAAGTGTGGTTGAAACTACCGTTTGCTTGTCGGGCTGGGGTGTGGTAGCGGCCACCACCGCGCACCGTTCCGCTGTGGCACAGACATTTGGCAAGCAAACAAAACAGGTTTGTTAAGCCTTTTTCTCCTCCCTCGCTCCCTCCCGCGCTCCCGTCCTCTTCCCTAGTGTGCTAGTGTGCCTGTGTGTTTGCCTCTGTGTGTGTGTGTGCCGCTGAAGGAATGGCGCCCGTTGGAAGGGGGAGGGGGACCCAAACTTGCCCGTCGACGGCGTCTCTCCTAGGCTCTAGCCTCTTGGTATGAGTGTGTGGCACAGCTGGCGCCCGGGGGGGAGGTCTCCGGCGATCCTCCCGCCCCATGGGTGTCTCTGGCCGGGCCATCCTTGCCGGTGGCCCCCGACATCAGGCGATTTCCCCCAAGCAGGGGTCAAGGGAAGTGGGATTAGAGTTTTCGGTTCAAAAAGAGCATCACAGTACTCCGTACGTAGGGGTGGTTCGATGAAGCTCGAAAAGTGACCAGGGTGACTGGCTTTTCTGTGGTCTGGTTGCGTGAAATTGGATGACTTGCGAGTCCTCTTGCATCGGATATGAAGCCCTTTGGGCTGATGGGTGCAGAGGCTACTGGGAGAGTTCAGAGAGATATGTCCCGCGCCCAGGCCGGTTACCATACATACAATTACATTATTACTGCATCTCATTGGTGCCGTATGCTCTCTTGCTCGTTTCATTTGCCTGCTTGCCGCACAGCCGCCACTGTTGCTGCATAGAATTTTGACTTATCGTCCATCGTTTTCAGCCGTCGCAAAAAAGAAAAGAGGCCTGGTCAAGGTTATACACGCCCCCTAGCCTCTTCCCAAGACAATAATTCGTCCAACGGGCAAGGCACAAGAAGAGCACGCTCCAAGCAAACAAGCTGCACAGCGGCCCAGCAAAGAGGAAAGCCCAGTCCAGCACAGAGCACAGCAGCCATGGCAATCTCACAGCAAGGACCCCTCCCCGTCATCATCGTCGGCGCGGGTGTCAGCGGCCTGCTGCTCGCGCAGTACCTCCGCAAGAACAACATCCCCTACCGCATCTACGAGCGCGACACGGACCTCACGACCCGCGGCGTCGGTTGGGGCCTGACGCTGCACTGGTCTCTCCCTGCGCTGCGATCCCTGCTGCCGGACGACCTCGTTGCGCGGCTGCCCGAGGCCTATGTTGACCGAGCTGCCGTCGCGAGGGGTGAGGCGTCGGCGTTTCCCTTCTTCGATTTGAGCACCGCCGAACTCAAGGGCGCCAGCCCCCGCGCACCGGAAAGTCTGAGGATTAGGGTCACGAGGGAGAGATTGCGCCGTTTGGTGGCTACGGATATCGATATTCAGGTATGTTTTTTGTGCTTTATTATACCCACCCGCATTTCTTGGTTGGTCATTAGACACTTGGCAATGTTTCGTCAACAGCTCCCGTGCTAAGTCGTCATCGCAGTGGGGGAAAGGCTTCACGAGATACGAAGAAAATGAGACCGGAGTAGCGGTCTACTTCGAAGACGGCACTTCGGTGGCCGGTCGCGTGCTCGTTGCCTGCGACGGGGGGCCATCCCGTGTCCGGCGCCAGCTCTTCCCGGAACAGCACGAAAGACACCGGATCCCGGTCCGGGTGCTTGGCCTCAAGTTGCAGTTGACTCCCGAAGAGATGGAGCCGATCCGAAAGCTCGACCCCTTCTTCCTGCAAGGTGCATCATCTCGGAACGATACGTTTCTCTATCTTAGCAGTAAGTCATCTTTTCTTTCTTGGTTTTGATCAGAGCGTAGTATCCGATGTTTTCTCTTTTTTTGTTACAGAAAGTGGCTCTTGATAACCCCGATCAAGGCGAAAGCGAGATCTTTGCTGTCTGCCGAACAAGGGGTGTCCCTGAGCCGAGAGTGCTACCATGGGGCCGAGACCCTCCCTTCCCCTTCCCTCTCCATCGTCTTCTTATTGACTTTTGCTCTTGCGCGCGCGTGTACGCAGGGCGGAAAAAAGAGTAAACCCAAAAAAGGATAGATGAAGACTAACAAAAACTCTGTACGCTCCCTGCAGTGCTCGACGCCCCTGGAAACAACGATGAGAGCACGGGCAAGTACAGCTGTCAACTGTGCATCTCATGGCCGGATCGCCCGGGCTTCCTAGGTAATCCGGAGCCGACCGGCTATCCGCTGACGGACGCCGGCAAGGTCGAGCTCATCAGGTCGTTTGCCGAAGGGTGGTCGGAGCCGTTTCGTTCCCTTGCACTCGGCATTCCCGCTGACACTGACGTGAAACACCTTGACCTCTACGATTTCCCTCCGCCGAAGGGGTTGAGGTCCAAGGGGAGGGCCGTGTTGATGGGCGATGCCTTTCATGCGATGGCGATGTGTAAGTCCAAAAAAAAAAAAGCCCTTCGTTGTTGACAAATCTCCCCGTTTGCCTATTTTCCCGAAACGTTTCGTTCGGCATTGAGTTCTGGGTTTCTTGGCCTGGCCCTCTACCTATCCTTGAGGGTGGTTCGTCTCAAATAGACGAGGATGTATGGCTGACGGCACGCACAGACAGAGGCGAGGGTGCTAACCACGCCATCCTCGACGTTCTCGACTTCGCAAAGACCGTTGGGCCCAAGTTGAGCGGTAGCAACAACAGTCTCGCGGACCATCGAGCCGTTCTGGACATTTACGAAGATACCGTGGTCTCCAGAGCTCGACCCGGCGTTTTGGCGTCACGGCGGGCCTGCATGGATGCGCACGACTGGCCCAAGATTAGCCCTACGAGTCCTCTTCTCAGCAAGCGGGAGATGAAGCTTCAGTTTGATGAAGAGTAAAAGGAGCTATGGAACTACTCCGTACGGACGTCCCACCAGTAGACTTAATGTTCTTTCTACTCTAATTGATTCAGTCATGATATAAAAACAGACATACAAGATCGCGTACACCGTGTTCTCGGGAATGGGGATCAGCATCGTGTTGTGGGATGTATGGGGTGATGGGGTGATTTCTTGACACGTAACCGTCCCTCCACCTCCTCCCAACCACCCCGGTCTGTTGTGGCTCCTCCACCGCAGTGGAGAGAGATCAGCAAGACGAGAGAGCCCTGTGCTGCTGTGCCTGTGCTGTGCCTCGACGACCAGGTTTCCCCCCATCTTGCTCCCGCCGGCTAGCGATCGAGGGTATCATTCTCTGCAGAAGCGAAAGAGTGATGATGCGATGCGGTGCGCCTCCGTCAGATCCCAACCGGATTCCGAGAAAAAAAGTCCTCAATGGGAAGTGATCGCTACTAATGAACAAAACATCTCATAGTTCGTGTCCCTCCAACGCCCTACAATCAATGTATCGAATCTGATGCTTTTCTTTCCAGACCAAGTCCTTTTTACACATTATCATGTTACATTTTTCGCCATTTAAATGCTTTGTCTTGCGATTTTGGGATTGTGGCGACGCGTGATATCAGCCCCCTCTTACACATCTGAATCTCGTGAATCCCTCCGTCGCGTGCCGCCAGTCGTTCCACCTTGCATGCCGGATTTGCTCTCCACCCTGTCGTCGACTTGGACGCTGTACGTCACAGACTTCATGATGTTGAAGGGCAGAATGTTCTCCTCGCTGCCGTTGTCGCCCTTGCTGTGGTTCGCCGACGCGAAGACGCTCTTGTCGTGGTTCATTTCGCTGAGCTTGTACCGCTCCCCGCCCTTGAGGTGGCTGCGTCCGTGCGACGAGCCTCCAGAGTACTTTGAGCGGTAGTTCTTGGCCTTCTTCATGCACACGGGTGCCAGGAATGGTAGTGAAGACACGATATTCTGCCCAGATTCATTAGCCATGTTTAGTCTCACCGGAAGACACGGGAAAGCTCGCGGACACTTTTCCGGAAGGAAACTTACACCAACGTTAAATTCAATGGTGCCCCACAGGACCAGCATCGTCGAGTTGCCGTCGCCGTACTGGATGCGGTTGATCTCGAGGTATCGGAGAATGGAGCATAGCGTCGTGAAGAGGCCGAGTAGGAAAATAGCAATGAGACCGGCCTTCTTTTCCACGCGGACGTTGAGCTTCAGCAAGACAGGAATAGGTAGTACTGCTACGACAACGTCGGAGATGATGGTGACAACAGCGTATGCGGTGAAGGACGGGCCCGCGGGCAGACAAGTTCCCGCTTTGAGTGGGTTCCATGACTTGTCGACGGGTGTGCAGGCGAAGACAAGCGAGAATGAGCATGCCAAGTGGGCAATGAAGACCAAGATAATGGTCAGCCAGACGATGCGGCGATAGCTCTTTTGGTCGGTGCCCTTGAGAAGGCGGAGGTAACTGATCAACAGGGCAATCTTGAAAAAGCTGATGCCCAGCTGGTAAAAAGGACGACCTGCAAAGTTGATGCGTGTATATAAAATCAAATTGTCCTTTGGCCTAAGCTTGATGGGCAAACCAAGGCCGTATCTCGTTTCTGATATCCCCATTAGCACCGGTGGTGGAAGTCATATCGAAATGGTTTGAACTTACGTGCAATTGTAAGACCGGAATAGATGAGAGCAAAGAATTCCGATAGAACCGACATCCAGTCATCAGCAGCCAGACCTCGGGCGGAAAATCGGATCCAGATTCGAGAGCCCACAACGACGACTGAAAGTACAGAGAGAACGATGACGACGGCGATGATGGTCGGCCATTGCGATATGGCCTCGACCTCGGGCGTGGCGTTGAGAACCCAGCCCATAGCGGCGGTTTATAAAAACAACGGTTGGCACAGCGGGCTGCGTGGCGCTGAGTCGAAAATCCAAGACAAGAACCAACAAACTTTCCGATGAAGAACGCCGAGGTCTTTCGTGACTCGTTCTAGCGTTGCCGCGATGTGGTGTGTAACTGTGGCTTGCAACCAACACGATTTGACGTCCAACGAGTTTCCAAGTTCCAACGAGGAAACCAAGACCAAATAAACGCGGGACCAACGGCGTAGTATAAAACCGGGATCGAATGGGGAGAGGGATAAAAAAGGCCAACGGAGGTTTAAGGGGACTCAAGGGAGAAGCGAGCGTGAATGGGGAGAGGAGGGGGAAGCGACCAGCCGACTGGTAAAATAAGATCCTAGCCTGCAGGTCGAAAGCAAGGGACACTTTATGAATTTGGTGGAGAGCAGCAATACACAAACAGCATCCGCAGACGTTGAACGGCCAAGACTAGGGGGGGTTGGCCACTTTAATCTTTATTGCGTCGTGCGGTGCGGTCTTCTACCGCCCGCTCGCTCGCGCGGTTGTGTTTGTGTGGTGTGCGTGGCGTTGAACACTATGTGTGATGAGTGGTGCAGCATGGCCCCTTCACCTTGCCTTTGCCAGCTGGGACATGACATTATCCACAAGGAACAAGAAAATATGAGCCAGTCACTTTGCGTGTATGTGCTCCGAGCTTCTGGGAACTTTGGGAAGTAAAAAAACGAACATGCTATGGGGTACGGATACCTGCGTCAAGTAGCTCTATCCTTACGAGAAGGAATCGAGAGAGTCTCCGCCTGGCCTTACTGCTTCGACACCCTGAAAAGCTCGCAGGTCACGACATTTTGGGCAGGTCAAGAAGCTCTCACAAGTGACAAGGCAGAAGGGGTAAATCTGGGATGCCTTGTCTGGCAAAGGCAATCGGTCCTCAAATGTCTCAAGCACCGCAAGGATTGGGCCAGTCTGGATGGAATCCGTGCAATGTGATAGGGTTTTGGGGCCTGGTGCTGGCTCGGGAACCTGGTGCTGGCATGGCCTTGCTAATGTCTCGATGTTCGGCCAGTGGCCCAATGGCCAGGCTCCGCAGGGCATTCATCCATCGGACATGGGGCAAAGGCCAGTAAAGTTGCCATGGAAGGGGGGAAATCCAAGTGATTCCACGCCGAAGTGATGTGGATGTCTTCGGGTTATTCGTAAATCGAATGTGACGCTGGACAACATGAAATGTGAGAAGCTTCCAAAGAAGAGGAAGGTCTGTAGGTCACGGAAGCGCGGGAAAGACAAATTGTTTGGGGGATCACCACAAGAGGCTCCGCAGCGAATGCATCGCTGCATCGTTCCCTTTTCTTGCGATTTGATGCATCGTCTTCTTTCTGGGTTTCTGGCTGCTACACGTTAAAGCTTTGCCAAGCCTCCCAAGTCTGGTTTCCGAATTACATTATTTCTTCTTCCTGGGGCCGGGACTGGGCTGGCTTCGGTCGGTCTCCATCATGCCGTCCGGAGTACCATCCGAAGAGGAGGGGGGGGCGTCTGGCGTGGTATTGTAAATGCGTGTGGTTACTTCGGGACAGAAAAACTTCCACGGAACAAAATCGCTCTTCGGGAGAATACTTTCAGAAGTTACCAAATACGACCACGGAAAGACAACGGTTGGCTTGGATTGCCAACCATGGTACCATGGTGCAACAACCTACGACGGCCGACGAACCAGGGTTCTTGGAGGGGAGAATTGAGAGAGGTTAGGCCAAAAGCAGAAGATGCGACGGCAAAGGGACGCGGGCGGTGCTAAGCGGCATTGCGTCTGCTGCAAGTCGTTGGCAACTTGCAAGGTCTGAACGGACCACGGACGGTATCTGTCAAACTTCCCACCGTTCGTGGCCCTGGCTTCTTCTGTTCTGTTGCCGCCGCCGAGGCGAAAGTTTGGAAGTTTCTGACATCGTTCCCCAAAGTCTACGGATACTGTGAGTGTGTGCGTAATGCGGAACTTCCTACGCAAGTGTCTGGTGTGTCCAGAACTCAGCAAAGCAGGCGACAAAGATTAACATCGTTCGATGGCAGAAGCCAAATTGACACTTTGACAAGTCGGCTAGACCGTCCCGTCTTGTCGCCTTGTCATTATTAAAAACTGCCCCCATTTCTGCCCGTGTTCTCGCAACGCCCCCGCTCGCAGGAGAACTTTTTTCTTCCTTTTCTGCCCCCCAATTTGCAGAGAGCGTAGAGGCCCAGAGCCTCTTAACCTCCTTCATTCCCAGCTATCTGCGCTGGCCCGCCACATCACGACGACGTCTTCTGGGTTGCTGACTCGGATGTACGATAAGAACCAGCAGAGCGCAGATGAGCGGATGGGGATAACTTGAGAATCAGTCTAATAGAGAGGGGATGAGGGGCCCTTATTTACGGTCACCATCAAGCCTAGATCCCCGCGCAAAACCACTCTGAAGAGCGGGCCGACGAGAACCAAGAGCCTAGAGGTCCCAGAATCGTCGCAAAAGTCGCAAAACGAACTGGTATTGGCATACAGATCATAGGCTAAGAGGTGATGCGGCCGGATATGAATGGAACAGGGCTCTTCAATGGGCCTTTTAAATGGGGTGAATAACCGTAGCAGGCCGGGTTCTGGCTTCATCTGGATCCAGTCCTCAGCTGAGAGGTACGGATATGCCACCACTCTCACCTGTGTATGTATGGAGTACTCCGTCCTTGGGGGAAAGGAGGAGCCTGGAGGAGTAACTTGTCGAGATCCATCGCTCGCCAGACCGGATATCCCTCGTTCTCGAACTGGAGGTCCAGGTTACATGCATCGGCCACTGGGGATTGAGCCCCAGTCTTCCTTCTCGTGAGTTAGGGGTCCCCCCGGTCCCCTGGTCCGACTACGCAAACCTTGCATGCTGCAGGCGGGGATCGGGGAGCTGCGCCGTACGGTACGCTAAGCTGTTGGTGTGGTCGATTTTGGGAGGGAAAAGTGATAATACTTGCGTTGACATGGGGTGAGATGTACAAAGGTGAGACCTGCAGCACGCAGGTAGCACGTTGCTCGTCTTGTCTAGCCCTCCTCCTTCCTGCAGCTGCTCCTCATCATCCAAGTTCCAACAAGAGCCGTGTTCAATTGTTGTAACTTGTGGACTGTGTGGTGGTGGTTCTGATACCATTCTTGTACACATCTCCTGGCGGGGTCTCTATTACTGGACGAACTACTAATCAGTCGAATCAACTCTTGTCACTCGTTGCTTTTCTCCCTTTTCATTGCGACTTTCCCCTCCTCTTCATCCTGTTTTACTTCTTTTACCTTTTCCTTTTCCATCTGACACCCGCGCGGAGATCAGATCACATTGGACCAGAAATCTCGAATACCCCCCCATCCAACCTTCTTTAGCCTTCAGTCCCGCAGCGGAAGCCTGTGCGCGCCTCGTCGTCGATCACTAGACGGACTGACAACTTTGCTTTTTGGCATCTCTCTTCCTTTCCCGCTGCTGAGGCTACGGTAGGAATCGAGAAGGGGTCACATTCTTCCTAATTGCTTTGCTTATTCTTTCGTCCTACCCTCCTACCTATCGGCTCTAAAGCAAGACAACATATATACAAAGCAAACATGTCTGTGGACGAGAAGAATCCAAAGGACTTTGTGAGCTCGGCCTCGTCCGACTCCCACGCTGAGACGGGCAACGTCGACGCCGCATGGAAGTTCCTCAACGACCATCGCGATGCCGGCACCGACACGAGCGCCGTGGACATGAACGCGCTCAGGCGCAAGATCGACTGGCGCATCGTCCCCCTCATGTTTCTCTGCTACACCATGCAGTTCCTGGACAAGGTCATTCTCAACGTAAGTGACTTCTACGAGAAGGTCCTCAGAGATCACTTCTCCCACTACGACCCCTCTCAGCTCATGTCTGACTGCTTGCTTTTGCGGCCCGGGCCTCTCTCTTACCACGCGACCAATGCTAATATGATATCTGACATTGTAGTACGCCGCCGTCATGGGCTTGAACAAGGACCTGAAGCTCGTCGGCAACGAGTTCTCCAACATTGCCACCTTCCTCTTTGTCGGTCTTCTCTGCTTTGAGATTCCTAACAGTAGGTTACCCCATTTCTATTCTCCATCTCACCGGAAGAAAAGGAAAGAAAGGAGAGACTCGAACGATGGAGAGACTCTGGAGAAGCTCGAAAGGATGGAGAAACTCGGATGTTGAAGAGACACGAACCATCAAGACTCGAACCATTGTCACAGTCTGGCAAAAGGAAGACTTAGAGAAAGCGAGACTAATAACAATTCCTCCACAGTCTACTTCCTCCAAATGGTCCCCGCGGCCAAGTGGTTGGGCGCCAACGTCATCCTCTGGGGTACCGCGACCGCCTGCGGTGCCGCCGCACACAACTACCAGTCCCTCCTCGTCTCCCGCGTCTTCCTGGGTATCTTCGAGGCCACTATCGGCCCTTCCCTGATGCTCATCAGCGCCCAGTGGTACACCAAGTCCGAGCAGGCCCCGCGCTTCTCCTTCTGGTACCTCGGTCTCGGCCTCGGCCAGATCCTCGGCGGCGCCATCTCCTACGGCTTCCAGCACATCGCTCCCGGCGCAGGCCTCGCCGGCTGGCGCATCATGTTCGTCGTGCTCGGCTGTATGACCGTCACCATCGGCATCTGCACCATCCTCTTTGTCCCTGATACGCCCATGAAGGCTACCTTCCTGAGCGACACTGAGAAGGTTGCTCTGCTGAAGCACGTCAGCGTCAACCAGACCGGTATCGAGAGTCGCAAGTTCCGTCCCAAGCAGATCCTCGAGGCTCTCATGGACCCCCAGATGTACCTTATGGTCGTTGCCGTCGTTCTCGTGAGTCTTGTTCCGCGTTATTCCTGGAGATGTGTAGTCCGAAGCCCGCTAACCCCTTGCCAAAGTTGTCCGTTTCCAGCGGTGTTGTCACCACCTACTCTGCCACCCTCATCCGCAATCTCGGCTACGACTCCAAGCACGCCGCTCTGATGAACATGCCCTCGGGTGTTGTGAGCATCTTCTTCACTCTCCTCGTCGGTTATGGCATTCGTTACACGTCCAACCGGTGGGCCTGGATCGTCGCCTGCATCATCCCAGCGTGAGTCAACAGTGGATCTAGCGTGAGAAGAAAAAGTAAAATACTAACCCCGCGTAGCATCATCGGTGGCGCTCTGATGTCTTTCCTTCCCGTTAGCAACCGCTCTGGCTGCTTGGCCGGCATCTACCTCGTCAACGCCGTCGTTGCCCCCTTGACCGTCTTCTACGCCGTAAGTACACCGCATCTCTAACTGTAGAGACCTCTTAGTCTCGAAAAGTCAAACATCAGATGTTGGGCAACATGACTGATATAAGATTTAGTGGACTGCCGCCAACTTTGGAGGTGCCACCAAGCGTGCTTTCGCCGCCGCCATCGTCTCCGGCTCCTTCTCGCTCGGCAACATCATCGGACCCCAGACCTTCCAGGCCAAGGACGCCCCAGAGTACCGCCCGGCCAAGATCGCCGTCATGGGCACCCAGGCTGGCTGCGCCGTCGTCACTCTGGCGCTGTACGCCTACTACCGCTTCGAGAACAAGCGCCGCGGCGCCATCAAGCAGTCCGAGGACGCCTACATGGCCCCCGAGAACTGGCAGTCGATGACCGACAAGGAGAACAAGTCGTTCCGCTACACCTACTAAGATAGTTGAGCAGAGCGCGGGTAGTATGCACAGAGCGCAAAAGGTTCCGAGTTGTTGAAGAAAAAGTATACTTATAGATGTATATAGCATTTGGGCAAAAGGGGGAGGCTTCATTGTACATTACTAGATCTTGGTACTGACCAATGAGACCACGTATTTACCGACGATTACACGTTGCGCCGTCCGTGGACTCATTTGGGTTTCAGACGGGTTGGGTCTTACGCGCCGATACGAACGACATAGCTTTTCAGCTTACAGGCCCGTTACAGTTTCAGGCCACATTTATCTCGCCAACGGACGCTTTAGACTGGTTCTAAGTCCGATGCTTTGCCTGCCCGTCCGTCGCAGGAGGGGCAGGACAGGGTATGAGAATAGAAAGAAAACAAAATCATGTTTGGTCATCCATCCCTTATTCCCGTTGCGTGGCATTGCGTTAGTCTGTTTGTGGGTGATGTGTAAGGCTGACTGTACGGGCATACGGCGCCACGGTTCACCAAGTCCGGTAGCACCATCCGGCCGGCACTTGGAGGAGTTGGTGCTGCGGCTGTCTTTGATTTTAAGCTTCATCTTACCGCCTTGTGTCACGTCTGTCGTGCGGGTCGCTCGGTAACTCTCCACCCACTTGCCGGTGAAGGGAAAAGGGCAAACAGGGTGACAAAGGAAAAAAACCAATCGGCGGTCGGTGCTCACGGGCAACTCTGTCTCTATGGCAAAAGCCCTAAAGACTTGGGCCTAAAGACGCACGGGTTACCAGAAGAGGTTAGCATTTCCGCTATACTTTTTGACAATGGGATCAAAGATGGGTAGACATCGGGCTGATAGTTCTTCCAGGTTCAATTGTACGGGCTTAGACTAGAATAGTAGTATTCGCCTAGTTCTGGACTGGTCAGATTGCGACCCCAGCCTTTAGAGTCTACTATGACCTTTAGCCTATGACAGCTAGCCTAATGAAGAGCTTACTCGCGTGGCATGGCACCGGCATTGAATCCCGTCGGGATCATGTAGAGAGCCCGCGCGCGAAGCCTCAACCTCAGAGCTATCTTATGCCAAGGTCTTGACAAGCTGCTTGAAATCCGCCTCGGTCATCCTCTGAACCCCGAGCAACTCGTTGGTGGCATCGGTATCGAAAGGGAGCTGGAGCTCAGGGTCATAGACAAATCGCAACACAATGTCTTCGATGACCGACGCGTCAAAAACCCCAGAGAGTAGCTTCTGCACGCCCCTCTCGTAGCGCTCCTTGGTGCTGACGTTGATGACCTCGATTTCTATATCGGGCAGAGCTTCCTTGACTAGCTCCACGATCCGCTTCTGCGTCAGGTTGATCACCTCAATCGTCAAGATCTGGTTCCTGGTCGCGCCGGGTCGTTTGAGCACACCCACGACCGCATCTCCAAAAGCCTTGCGCGTGCTCAGCCCAAACCGAATGTCGCCGTCCTCATGGATGTAGAACTTGCGTTTGGGGAGGCACATGCCAGTGTCGCAAGTCATGAGCCACTCGATCCAAGGCCCGCCGAGGATGCTGGTATACTCGATGCGCCCAGCTGCGGCGGCTTTCTTCAGCGCCTCATCGACTCGAATCTTGGAGGCTGAGAGGGGCACGGCTTGCGTACTCGGATTCCGATGATCGGAGCCGAACTCCGAGGGGATGAAGCGTTTTACCTCCGCAGCAATGGCAGCCTCGAGGATGCGCAGCAGGAGGGCCTCGAGGTGACCTGGGACGACACAGACGACGGCGTCAAACCCGCGGAAAGCAACGGTCAAGTCGTCCAATGATTCATAGTCAGCTGCGACAGTCTTTACTCCTGGTGGGAATGTCTTGGCGTGGGAGCCCCGGGTGATGACTACAAGGTTAAAGATGCCGGCGGCAGCGAGTTGGTTGACTATGACATGCCCGAGGTCGCCGGTGCCCTAAGGTCGGGTAGTAAGTATGGGTGGTACGGTGGTCAGTGCAGTTGATCGGGCTGCCTGCCTATGTTAGGCTTTAGGGGAACGGGTACGGAGTAGCCGTAACCGTCTAGTGTAACTTGTAAGGGTAAGGTAGGGGCAAAGGGGAGATGGGGGATCCACGATGCGTGGCTCATGCAATCTGTAAAGAGTAGGTAGAGTGTGGCTTACTCCAATAACGGCAATATTCTTCAGGGTAGCCGTAGTCATGGTTTATTTTTGTCGACTTGATAGGTTGTCTCAGGTTGTAAACTTTTTCTAAAGGACAGGGGGCCTGATTGATGAGGTGAAGCGTGTCTGATGTGAGATGGGCTAATAACGGCTAAAGACTTGAATGCTTAATGCTTCTGATCCTCTTTGGCGATGTGAGGGCATATCCAACCTCTTTGGTATAGGGCGATGCCCCATTCATAATATACAGAAAGATTATGAGACTCTGCCTATAACCATCATTATTCATCAAGTCCAGGCCCTCCGCTGCTGCTTACCGTTATCCTACCGGTGTACCGGCGGACGCATACATAAGCCTCGGCGCCCGGAGGCCCCGCTCCGGCGGCAGATCCCCACATATCTCGGTATCCCACCGGCTGAGTAATCTGGGCCTATAGATGGGCCAGATGGACGCCCAGCCAATCGTTGGCGAGCGTTGGCGCATCCAACTGCCGTGGAAGGTTTAGCCCCGAATACCCACCGTCCACCTCTGACATCTCCCTCCTAGTCTTAGTCCTCCTAGTCCCAGGCTCCCAGTCACTCGTCTCCCAGTCGTCCCAGTACCCAGCAAGCATAGTCGTTCCGTCTCGTCCAAGAGCTAAGCGTACGGCGGAATCAAGCGAAGTCCACGTCCGAACACCCAACATAACGCCTACACACTTTCTCCACGCACGCGGCGCACACAGGACCTGTCCCAGACCCAGACCACCTAAGCCTTTAGCCCTCTTTAACCTATCCTATCCTATCTCTGCTCTGCTTGCTCCGGGTGGCTATCCGACCCCCTTCTCAAGCAACCTCTTTTAGATCTAGTCAACCCGCCGGTAACTACTCCAGGGCAATGGATCTATCCCTTCCTTGCGTTGGAGGTCCCTAGAATGCCCTTCACCTGCGACCATGAAGGCTGCGGCCGCTCCTATCTTCGTAAGAAACACCTCACACGCCACAAAAAAGAGCATTCTGCAACGCCTTCTTTCTCCTGTCCGTCATGCGGTACCAAGTTCACAAGAGGGTACGTATGGCATTGGTGGTTGACAACTGCTTATTCCTTTCTAATACGTGGTGCCTCTGACACTGCTTGTCTTGTCACCTGTCGCGTCCATCGGGTTGCATTCCCAAGAAGTTTCTCATGGGTTGACTATTGTTTGTCGATGTCGATCGGATTCTGGATCCCGCGCGAAAAAAAAAATAACTAACCCGCGGTAATTTTCTATCAAAATTGTAGAGATACCCTCCGTAGACACATGGTACTACACGGCCCTTCAGCCCCGCCAACCCGCGTAGCACAAGCCTGCGTTCCATGCCACCGGACAAAGACCAGATGCGATGGTCAGCAGCCCATTTGCTCAACATGCAATGACAAGGGGAAATCGTGCGAATGGCCCCAGCCGCGCGGCGGCAGCAAATCTCTGACGGACCGGTCCTCCTCCTCGCCGTCCAGCTCCTCCGGCCTACCGACCTCGGGCTGCACGCCGCCCTCGAACTCCATGGCCATGCCCGACCACGGTGGCCACCCGATGACGGCTCCGTCCATGCAGCATCAGCATCAGCAGCACCATCCGCCCACCGGCATGACTACAACCTCGCATGCAATGATGTCGGCTGGGCCCATGCCGATGACCACGATGTCCGACACCCTCGACTTCACCACCCCGGGATCCATCCTAGATGAGGCCATGAGGCTCCAGTTGCAGAGTATCTACTTCACCAAGTTCCATCCCCAGTGGCCGCTGCTGCATCGGGAGACGTTCGAAACGACGGCACAACCCAAGTTGTTGATGCAGGCCGTTATGACGGTTGGGCTATGGTTTGCTTCATGGCCGGACGCGAGGAACCTCGCGGTCAAGTTCCACGACAGTCTTTTGGTAGAAACAGGGAATAAACTTGTAAGTTGCTGTCGCTGTCTATTGTTTACCAGCCCGTGTGTTTTCCTCTGGTCTTTTGGTGGTATCTCTACGCTTGGACGGAGGTCTTTGCTAGCTACACGGACGTTGGTTGTTGTATAAGGAAACCTATTCGTAAAGAAGAGCCCTGTGCTAACCGTCGTTACAGCTCGATCTGCTGGAGCAGTCAAGACAACGGTTGCTCTCGCCGCGGGTGGATCTGCTACCAATTTTCCAGTCCATGCTGATCTCGACAATACTCGTGCCGTACCGAGCGGACCAGTCCATGGACAACGTGATGATGACGCATGCCATGTTGCTCGAGACGTTCAAAGCCACGGGTGTATACGAGCAATCAAAGATCAACCTAGGGTCGCAGCTCTGTGGGCATAGTGGATACCCTTGGATCTTTAAAGAACTATACCAACGGTAAGTAAGAGTTATTTCTCTCGATGTGTCAACCCGCAAAGGAAGAAAACGGGAGAGCATCGAAAGGATCGTATCACCCAACAGCAGCTTCTTCCCGCGGAAAAAGTTTGGAGGAACAGTCCTTCAGCCACTACAGTTTTTCAATACTTGATTAGTACGCGAGTCATGACTAACTCTATTCGTCTACAGTCTCGCCGTCTTCCAGTTCAAGCTACATCTAATCCTCCAAACAATATTCATCACAATACATCCGGCACTGCGCCTATCCCGCAATGCAGAGCCGGCCATGCTCAGGATAAAAATACCGCTACCGCTGATGATGTGGGATGGCCCCGCGGCGCACTGGTACGGCATGGTCCCGACAGATCCCGCGCTGATGGACGCGAGCGGCGGCGGCGGCGACGACGACGAAGTGCTGATGATTGGCAAAATGTGCGAAAAGGCGAGCCTGACGATGGACAATAAGGCCCTCGTCCCTCTACTCTCCTGGGACCGGTGTTTGGGTATGGCGATTTGGTGTTGGTGTCTACGGGGGTCCGAGAGCGACAAGAAGTTTATAGAGAACGTGAAGCCGTTTGTCCTCGATCCGTTGAAGGATACGAATGTTTTACCAGGTTCCCGCTAGGTGGGATGGCATCAATGCGAAATAAACAAAAAGAAAAAAATACTGGAAATTTTTGGCACACTAGCAGCGATCTATTTCCTATGACGTAAAGCATCTTTACAGCTTGCCTATACTGACAAACGTGCAACGCCTATAGACTACGCCATTCTCCGTGTCGACAAACATCACGATCAAACGATCAAACCTCATCAACAGCGACGCCTACGATGACCGTCGGACCGGCACACAAGGCTGCTCTATTTTTCTCTCCTTCTCTCTCCCTTTCCGTCGGCGCAATTTTGCTGCGGCGGCGCCCACTCGGCATCCCACCCGGCCAACAGGTCATTATCAAGGGGGGTTTCGTCCTAGTGTGCCGGTGGGATAGCGGGATAATTTTCCCGCTCTGGATCTAGTGAGTGGGGTGGCGCGGTGACCGACGCTTCATGCACAACAGAAACTAGCTGGGGCCGCCGGGTTGACTTGCCTCTGGCTCGACTTGCCTCCGGCTCAGGTGGGATAGAGATTCCATAGTCAAATTAGACGTCTGCCGCCCTCACCTAACGTAGTCCAAATGGGCAGATCGGTCACCGCGCTTCAAGGGAGTGTCAGTGACATTTGCAGCGAAACCTCCAACGCGGTCACTGAGTAGTTAACGATAACGAAGTGATACTTTCGAAACTCTCCTCTGCTCGAGACATCAGAGTCGAATATCCGAGCGTCGGATTCAAAAAAAAAACCAAACGATCTGTACCAATACTCATATATCTTGAACGATGACGGACTCTACGCAATGGACTCGAGTGCTCCAGCTCGTCAACCTGCTAGGAGTCACGCATCTTGCCGGTACCGTGATAACCATTTGAACAAGGCCCATGAGATTCCGGAAGCGTGGGAAGCTAAGATCGTCTGTAGGCTACCAATTCGGGACGGACAAGATTACCATGCACAGCATCCTAGAACTCAATGACAAGGACACCATCGTAAAGCTCTGGTTCCGGGGATGGGACTTTGGACGTGTATACGGCCCCGCAATGGTTGTCGGCACGGCCGCCGTTTTTGGCTTCCTGGCATGGAACGGTGCGCGCCCACTTCCCTTATTTTTCGCCCCCCGTCCACCCCCTAACCCGTACTCTACCTTGCGCTTTCTACTACAGCTCCCGCAACTTTAAACAGACGAACAGACCCTCCTTCCCATTCATGGACAGGACTCGCGACTAACATCTCTTGTTGAACTAGACGGCATTGCAAGTCCGGCGTTTCCCTTCAATCTCGCAGCCGGACTCCTGATGGGGGTCGTCGGCCCGTATACGCACTTCAGGGTCTTCCCCATCAACGACAAGCTCTTGGAGGAGCATCGAATTGTTATCAAGGCGGAAAAGACGGATGAGCGTCCAGGGGGGGCGAGTCTCGAGGCTGTTCGAGAATGGGCTGCTGATTGGAAGAGACTCGACATACATCGCCAACTGCTCGCGTATCTTGCTGCGGGGGCTGGCTTGATGGCTGTTCTCAGATCCTGAGTTGCTGCTGAACCGATTGGCGACTGAGGATATATTCGATGGTGGGGGAGAGTTGAGACGATGTTACACAGTTATAAATTACGACGAACGAAGTCTCCCGAATACGAACGGATACGATTAGTACGAACGATACGAACGGATACGAATTCCCGCGATTCATTGAGTACGAAGAAGTTGCCGAACCTGTTCTATTGAAAAGAATACTTCAACAAACAAGTGATCTGGTACAAGACGAGACACTCAAGCGACAAGGGCAGATTGATTCAAGTCCGTCGTCACACCATCCGCCACATGTCGATTCAAGGTCTGAGTTCGAAGAAACCCCCCGAATGTCCTTCGAGGTTTGGCGAAAGCGACGCGAAATATTGACGATCCCCAAATTTTCAATCGGCAGACGATACCCATAGTACGCATCGATCGGTCTCGACTGTCGCGGATTTCCGTTCTGTGAAGCTGTTCACATACTCTCGACCTCAAACCTGACTTGCTCTTTTTGTTGGCGATGCAATAAGTGATTGGTGGGAGATAACTTCCTATCTAGTTCTGGTACCCACACACTGAGACCGACCGAGTCTGTCGAGGCGGAACTCGGCTCTATTGTCAGCGGGCATAACGGCATTTTTATTGAACGCTCGCGTCTTCAATCAACCAGCCCTGTGAGCCGCGCCTGGTAAGCGACTGGTTGGCTAGATCTCTTCGCTTCCCGGAACTGAAGCCAACTGGAAGGACTTTGCCATTGAAGCATTGTTCGATTTGTCGTCAGCTTCGTCTCGTTGAGATTACAACCCTGGGAGCTTCAGAAGCATCATCGTCATTGTATTATCTCAGACTCCTGCAGAGTCATGGCGCTTTCCCAATGCTATGATGTAGGGGGACTAACACTGTTTTGGGTTCACGAGATCGGACCGGCCTCAAGGTCTACTGTCATCCGCAGACCACCGAAGCATTTATTCCACAGGCAGGATATATTGTTCTCCCGGTGTCAGCTGCGCAATTCCCTGCTCATATACTTCCACCGCCGTATTGATGCGTTGGGTATACAGACTCCACGCTCGCTCTCAATCATGGCGCGTGCCGTTCTGAGACCAGCTCGAGCAGTTGGGAACATTGCCAGTGCCCTCAGCCAAAGTTTCGAAAGTCCTTAGTTCATTAATCAGACGAGTTTATATCTTCATTGATGTCCCTACCGTTCAACAATGCCATTATTTAATCGCCGCCAAGGTCCTCACGAGTCGCCAGCGATGGTACTCGACGTTCCCATGTTCCGAAGGGCCGTGGGCTAACAGAAGATCTCTTGGGCATACTAAACGGCAGCTGCGCCCACGCGTTCAAATAAGTGCCTTCGTGTCGATCAAAAGGAATGGGCATCCGGTGAACTACTGATATCTGATGAGCCATTCCAAGCTGCAGGACAGAAATGGTCCAGCTACCAATGCCAATTGGGTACTGTGCAATCTTGCAAGGCATCGAACGCATCCATCGAGAGACCAGTTTATATTGATGGAGCCCCTAGCTGCTCGAAGCGAAAAAATCGATTGCCATTGTTCGTCCACAAATCTTCGTGGTAGACCTTCTCCTGTTTCCCATTGCACTCGTTCAAGTCCCAAAGCCCCCAAAAAGGCCAAAAAAGAGAATCTTCAACTTGAGCGTGGAATCTAACCACTGAATCTCCCCGAGGTGGGCTCGAACCACCAACCTCCAGATTAACAGTCTGACGCGCTAGCCAATTGTGCCATCGGGGATGTTGAGATGTTGTGTCTCTGTGGGTTGACGGGCTGCGCGATTTTTGGGAATATGGAGCTTGCGTCGTAGTGTGGACCGTCTTGGTGTGGGGAATCGTCAAAGCGAGAAGTCATAGAGTGGAAACGAGTCAGTAAGGTCGGCTAGAGAGGATCGAAGCAGCAGGCGACATACCGAACATGGTCGAAGTCAGGCGAGCGTGGTCGCCAGCTCTCTGGTGCCGAAAGATGGAGGGAAGGAAGGAAGGAGGATAGTCGTGAGTTCGTGGAGGAATCGGTGCATTGGGTCTTGGCAACAGGGCCTGCGGCAAGGGCCTTTCGTATTGGAGGCCAATCGATATCGATGCCTCGAGAAGAAGCGGCACGGTTGTCGCAGAATTCTCTTTGGATGTTCAGCTGTCAAATCTGTCCCTCTCTGAAGCTGTGATCACCAAGCTGTCCGAGGAAGTTGAACCAGGAGGAGTAGCTTTCGGTGAAGATTTGTGGCTTTTGGTAGAAAACTCGGTAAGCAGATGGATCCACTTAACCTTGCGGGGCATCTCGGTGAAGGAGGTGGGACAGAAATAAGCTTCAGTACGTACCAACTCACGTGCCATAGCTCCCTAGCGCGCATCAATTTTCGACCCCTGTAGTTGGGCAGTCGCGTCTCACCCTCATTTCACCACTGCCGTCACTCTTTCAGCCCGTTTGTCGTTCAAGAAACGCAATTTTCTTCACCCGCCGACGAAGGAACTTCATCGGTCAACATGCCAGACTCATCCGACGAATCGGATCACGATGGTGTCGGCCTCATGCAGAATGATGCATCCGACCGGGAGTCTTCAGTCAGCGAATCCGGAACAGAAGCCGGCCATGACCCCGGCCAAGGCTTCCTCGACGTCGAAGCTTCAGAAGAGGGGAACAGCGACTCTGACGACTCATCAGAATCGGACTCGGAAGATGCATCGATTCTTGGCGAATTTCGTCGCAAGAGCCCGCGGGTGTTCTTCCCGGAATTTCGCAGACTTCCCATCGAGCTTCGCCATCGCATCTGGCAGTACTTTTGCCCCGATCTCGGTCCATCACCACGCGTCTTCTCATTCCAGGTGCTGCCCAATCCAAGGCAGGACACCATCTGGGAAAGCACGCCCTTGGAGAACCAGATTGCGGCAGTGGACGCCATGTTGCGTGTCCATCACGAGTCTCGAGACATCGCTCTCAAGGCATTTCCAGACACCCTAGCGATCCGGGAAGGCCGGCGCAGCATTCGTTTCAACAAGGAACGAGACGTCGTTCACCTCAACGGTATCAAGCGCGTCTGGGACCACAACCTCAAAGTCCCTGGCTTCTCTGAGAAGATTGTTAACCTGGCCATGGACGGAGCCAACCTGGACGCCAATGAACTGCGGCTCCTGTTGGCGTTTCCTAATCTCAAAAACCTATTCGACTTTCAGTGGCATAACGACAGACGCATACCGCATAGGCTACGGTGGTGCGCATCGGACCTGGTTCACAACTACGAGCTCCAGCAATTGCGCAAGGACGTGGACGTCGGCGAGGATCTTCACTTTGTGTACTGCTGGCCGGACCTCACGCAGCCGCCGCAACGCGAATTCGCATTGAAGAGGAAGCTGTCCAAGGATGAGATATGGATCGATCTCTTCACGGAACTGTTCGACATGGTGGAGGAGGGTTCCCTTTACCTGAAGCCGGATGAAGCTGAGCGCTTGGAAGAAGTCAGCTACTGGCCCATGCAGTGCTTTGGTTGGGACGCAGCCGACCGATTCGATGCCTTTCGGGCGAAACACGGAGCTGTGAAAGCAGAGAACCCCGCCGCCGACGGTTCAGAAGACGACAAGGGAGATGAGTCGGAAGACGACTCAGAAGAAAACTCGGATGACTCCTCGGATCAGAACGAATACGAGAGCGATGGCATCGACGATGGAAGCATTCACGAGGAGTCCGTAGATGAAGACGAGGACGACTTACTTATCGACACGCAGCAAGCGAGTGATGACGAAGAGGGAGGAGGGGATGTTTCAGACTATGGCGGATTCTCTCCACTCGCAGACGAGGACAGCACGCTCTTTGATGGCAACGGCCCCATAAACCCTGCCGCTCACTGGTCCAGCCCCGAGCCTGGATCAGGAGAAGATGAACAACCCCGCAGAGGCAGGAGGAGAAGACAAGTCGCATCATCCGACGAGGACGAGGAATCGGCTGAGGAGGAAGAGGCAGAGGACTCACGCCGTAGCACAAATCGACGCGGTCCAATGGTCATTTCTGACGATGAAAATGAAGAAGATGAAGAACAGCCTTCTCAGCCTTCGAGTCGCCGGGGTCGCGTTGTTCTGTTAGACGATGAGGACGATGACGAGGAGGCGGAGGCGGAGAAGCCTGCGAAGCCTGTCGGTCGCCGGGCACGAGTCCTTCCCTCTGATGACGATGACGAGGACGATGATGAAGGTGGGGCTGACATTGCCAACAAGGAGGAGACGCGGGAAGGCTCAAACTCGGAAGATGAAGACGTGGGCGCGAAGAAACCCTTATCCCTAGCTGAGAAGCTTGCTCGCAACCGTCGCGACAACCCGGTCTCCGAAGAAGAGTCTAGCTCCGAGAGCTCCGAGGAGGAGGAGGAGGAGGAGGAGGAGGAGGCAGCACCGCCCAAGACGATGTCTCTCGCGCAAAAGCTCATGACGCACCGCAGACGGAACCCGATTGCGTCCGAGTCAGAGGACGAGCCCGAGGGCAGTGTGGTCGGCAGTGAGGATGATGATCTCGAAGACGAGGAAGATGAGGACGAAGAAGACGATGAGCATGGCATGTTTATGAACTTGGCGGATGAAGGCGAATCTGGAGACGAGGAAGGTGATGAAGATGGATACTAGGTTTGAACCTGGAAGGGAGGTTCGCGCGTATATTGCATAACATTACGACATTTTCTCTCTTGGTCTCGAAGCGTGGAAGATAAGGACTAAGAGGATTCCACAATTACTTACCTTATATTCGGGTACATGGTCGGATGGCCAGAATAGCATTGGAATCCAGGACAATGGATGAACGTTTCGACTCGGGAAAACATCGAGTTCTTTTCCATGATTCGTACACTATATTTGTCCCCTTCAACTAGTGAGCACATTGATCGTACGCTTTTTCTGACACCAGTGATCTTTCAAACACGTAATCGAAAGCTTTACGTGGCCTTCCTAAGGATTGAAGGATGCTATACCACCTTCATAGTACGTCCTGAGCAGTGTCTGGATTCGCTGATAGACACATGCCGACAGCAACACTCTTGATCTCCAGCGGATTGAGAATCACGAGCGCGAGATTCGAGATATGATGAGAGCTAGGAGAATTCGCATTGCTGGACTTCTAGCAGGTTGTATCCCCTTTCCGGACCAATCATCATCACATGATTCGACGAAACTTCCAGCAAATTGGGTTTTAGGTCCTCGTTCGACTTTTTGAAAGCCTCTTCTCAGCAAGGAATACCGTCTCGTCTTTGAGAAAAAGAGGTAGGCAATAGTGAACTCCTACGGATTTTTCATCAATGCAACACCAATATTGATATAGTAGTAGAATGTATTCATATCTCATAACTCATAAGAGGTATCCAAACTGTAAGAAAGCAATGGTATCACCAAACTCAAACGCCCCATCAGATCCATCCCTCTACTATCATCCTCTCATCTCCCATGATCAACCCTGTTCCTCACATCTCAAAGCATACGCTCATTTACTTCTGCCTCCCCGTGACAGCCCCGACAGCTAACGTCTCAATGCGCCCGGAATACAACTTCATCACATGACACACCGGATCCCCCCAAATCACCCCCCTCAGCTCCTCGTCCGTCACAGTCTGCGCAACGACGCCCTCATCCAGCCTCTCCGCCACAGTCTTCCGGTCCCGCGGCCTCGCCCTCGGGTCCCCGCTCCGCAAGACCACGATTCTGCCCGGCGAGCTCAGCGTCCCCGGCGGAAGATGCCACACCGGCTTGCTGCTACTCCCCTCTCTCTTCCTCCTCTCCTTGTCCCTATCCGAGTCCCTACCAGGCGCATGCTGAACCAGCGACATCTTACTCTCCTTATTCCTCAATGACATCTTACTCGCCTTGGCAGCCAACCTCGCCTTCCTCTCCCCCCTCCCTTCGCCTCCAGACTCACCACCCCCAGAACCAGCCGCCGTCGACGGCGCCGGACTAGCATACAACTCCAACAAACTCTTCACATACGCCTTGTCTGCCCTCGCAATCGGATCCCCCTCATTCACAAACGTCAAAAACAAACTCTTCCTCAACTCCGCCCTCTCAGGCCTCCTCAACGGCAACAAACTCACAGGCGGCGTCCCAAAGGTAACGCAGTGCACCCTCTTAAAGCACCCCGTCAACGCATTCAGCTCACTCCCCGCCCGCGGCGATGTAGCAAGCATATGCGTATACAACAAACTCGCCACCGCACCGCCGGCAGAATGCCCCGTAATCAACAAACTATACGCCGCCCTGCCCGGGTCCTCTTCAAGCAGCTGCCTAAGCCGCGCAGCGACGGGCTTCACCATCTTGCGCGCCACGGCCAAGAACCCGGCGTGACACGAGTTCCCCGCGTCGTCGAGGAAGCCCTCGGGGGATGCGGGCGCCGTGTTGAGGTTGACCGCCCAGTCCATGAAAGTGGCGGAGCCGCGAATAGCAAAGACGATGGTGTTCATGTGGTCCATGGGGACGGACTTGATCACCATTGCCTTTGTGCCTGTTTTCCAGTCTGCTGAGACGTGGGCGTCGCGCTCGGCGCCTTTGGGGTGGTCATAGACGCGTTCTGCGTATTGGGCGGCCATGCAGAGGAGGGGCCAGGTGGGCATATATCTGGGATGTGTCAGTTCGTGTCTTTGCCTCTCTTAAAAAGTATTCAGATGAATTAGTAACTCACAGTCTCAGGGGCGGGAGGTTCATTGGCAACTTCGAGTTGGCGTATAACTCGACTTTGGCAAAGTAACCCCCCGACACCATACACGTCGCAACAGCCGCAGACTGGCCTTTTGACCCAGAAGAAGAAGTCTCTTTACTCTTCTTCCTCTGCCCGCTCTTATCGCTTCTCCCACCGCCGCTTCTTTTCCCATCGCCCGGCGGAGAAGAAGTGGTCTGCACCGCACCGCTTGCACCACCACCACCACCACCACCATTCTGGTACGTGAACAAAGCCTTCTCGTTGCCCACCATTCTGTCCCGATCAATCAGCGTCATAACATCGTTGAAACACCCCGCAATCTGGTCGACGCAAGCGGCGGTAGAGTTGATGAGCTGCGTGGCGTGCGGGTGGAAGTTTGGTTCCTCGAGAAAGGTGGGGGACGTGAAGTCCTTGGCGATTGTCACCACGGAGCCGGTGAACTTGTCCAGGCCGAGAGGGTGTGCTGTCGTCGTTGTCGTCGGCGGTCCTGGCGGTGCGGGGAGGGCGAGGTGTGAGGGTGGTTGGTGGAGGTAGTAGTGCTGGTTCACGACGATGGGCTGCTGCTGTTGTTGTTGAGGATATTGGACTCCGCGCTGGGGGTGTTGTTGGGACCAGCCTTGTGGGCGATAAGGCTGCTGCTGTTGCTGTTGCTGTTGCTGATGCTGGTGATGCTGTGGTTGTGGATGGCGATAAGGAGGCGGGGGGTTTTGGTATTGTCCCTGGCTGTTCGGCTGAGGCTGCCAGTACGGCGGCGTCTGCGTCGTCGAGGTAGCATATCTTGAAGATTGTTGCACCGGTGGGTGTGGTGGTGGCGTGTGATATTGGTGATGGTTCACCGGCACAGGTTTGACTGGCTCAGGGCCATGCTTGACGGCCTTTTTGCGGTCAAACCAGCCCATTGTGATGATAGCATCAAACAAACTTCACTCAAGTCCCCGGTCCTCTCTTCTCCGGTTCTGCTTCCTGGGCGCTGTCGTACTGAGATCTGCGAATGAAGTCTTCCCCGTCCGCCCAGATTCGCGATTCTTGGCGTGGGAATCGTTAAACTTTCTGCCGGCAGCCAACCTTCGATCGGTTCGGGAAGCCAAGTCTAGCGTTCTGCACAAAAGTGGAGTGGCAGATCAAGGAAAAAGAAGGGAACGCCTCTTTGGTTTCTCTTGGCTGGATGGATAAGACTGAGTTCCTCCAGGCACGAGGGGAACTTGTTCGCCAAGAATCAACGAGGCGGTCTGGCAGAGGAACAAGTTCGCGTGTGACAGGCGGGGAACACAAGAATAGGAAGCAAGGCGTCCCGGTTGTGCAGTGTACCCAGGCGTTCGTTGTCGAGCGGGATCCTACTTTTGTTCTTTTTGACTTTCTTCTTTCCACTCTACCTCGGTGTGTCTGAGGGAACGGGGATAATCACAAGTCAAAGTCCGAGGAGAGTGACCTTGCGCAGCTGAATCCAGTCCCAGGAATCAATCGGTGTTGCGGACAAACTGGGAACCTAGTTTCCGACCAAGGTGCCCAGACGAACAAGCGAGAAGGTGCGACGCGATATCTTCAGTTCCCCTTTGGCCGCTACTGAATTAGAAACGCCTGCGCCTGCTCTTTGGCCAAAGCAGAATAGTACCTATTGTCCCGGCTTGACAACACCACCGATGCGTTTGCGGTGGCTATTCGCTATGTTCGGGAGCGGCACTGGGATCCAATCCGTCGGTGCGTTTTCGGTGGCGATCTGGCCGCGGCCGAGATGGTGGCTTAGACGGCGGGGAGGAGAGCCCGGCAGAGACGGGACTAGAGGTGGAAGGGATATCCCCTCACAGAAGCACGCAGCTGAAAGATGTTGTTATAACAGACTCCGGACGAGGAGTTGTCAGCCGCAAGACACGACACGGATGAACGTGGGAGTAACAAGAGGAACAAAGTGAGAGAGAGAAATTCCGGATATCCTCCGATTCTTCTATTCATGTGCCACACGATGGACCGGCGCCAGTCGAACAAATCACATCGTAAAAAAAGTCATGTGTCTCCTCTAGAGCCCTCCTTTACCCTCTTTACCGACCACCGCTCACCTCTCCCGCTCCCTAGATCGCGCCAGGTCCGAGAATCTCATGTCGGAGAGGGGGGTCAAAATGGCACCCTTAACCGTTCTCTCGTCTCTGCTTCATCCTCTACTCCAAGTACCCAACCCATACAAACCACACCAAAAGAGTACAGACTACTTCGTTAAAGACACAACCACCATCATCTACACGGGCACTACCAATATCCCCTCCACCCAAACGACTTCTCCCTCCCTTGACAAGCTTGAGTAGACCTAAGTTCAACCCCCCGTCTATTCAATCTGATTCGTCACCCGCCAACCAGTCCGCGCTCTCCCGCGCAAGGGGACCTGCACACCAGGCGCAGCAACCCCTCCATGTTCTCCCCTCCACCTCCAATGGGTGCAATCCAGTTCAAGCCTAGCCCAGGGTCCAATACGACATCACGGCTCTATGGCTACTGGCTAGGTACTGTGTAAAGTCGTGAGACTGGTAAGTAAACCTCCCTGACTCCGTCCTCGCATAGCCGATTACAGGCGCCCTTCTCCCCTCTACCGCCTGTGGAACTCGTCCGTTACACCTTGATTGGGAGAGGGCCAAAGCTCCCCTATGCATTTCAAACACAGCCTCAGAAGCACCTGTAGAGTGGTGGCATTGGAAATGCACATGCAACACTCACTGGACAAATCATGAGCCTCAGTCGTTTCAACAATCATGCTTCAACGTCTCATACGTCGAGTTAAAGCATACAGGGCGAGAGCCTGCTTTTCATGACTGGAACACACATACATGGGGCTATCTAGAATTCCCTCCCAACCACCCACCTTACAAACAGGTCCATAATCCGACCAATACTCGACGAGTCGCAAATCAGTTCCTAGGTGTTTTTACATGCGCGTAGCCGCCCAGAAACGACGCTACCGCCACGATAACCCCTCATTGCTCACAAACACCCTTGTATGCGTTCTGTGTTTCTGGTTGGTGGTACGGGGGTTTGGGGAGTACCACCAAACGCGCACATGGGATGTTTTTTTTTTTTTCTTTCACTCGTGGATCTCGTGAGATAAAACATTAGAGGGCGAGAAAATTTTGCAGAGCATGTGAAGGTCTATCAATAGGGGTGAGGGAATTGAAGCCGCGGTTTGTCGTGACTCAGACTTTGAATTGCGCCTTGACGGTGAGCGACCGTGCCTTACTTACCCAGCTGTCACATAGGTATTGTGTCCGACGATGACTATCAACGTGAAAAATGACATCGATGACAACAACAAGCTCGGTGGCAGACGGGATCCCATTTGAACCCCGGAGAAACATATTTTGTTCTACACCGAAAGCCCAAGCCAATAGGCCACATGCTTTGCCCTTTCTTGAGTTTTGGCATCTAGCATCGAATGCGGTAAATCACAGGACCAAGCTGAAATCTATCGAAACTTGGCAACGCTCTGTTCCAACGCTCCATGCATTTTGTGAGCAAACAGGCTATTCAATGTGAATGGTATGCCCAGAAATCGCCGTATCACCACGTGCAGACATGGACAATATGCCATTTCCAGCCTACATATCATTCTCTCTAAAGTCCCAAAAATTTGCCCACTGTATGCAACTACTCTTTCACCGCGCCCGCCGAGGGAATAGGCCAAAGACCATGCTCCAACTGCCGAGGCCAGGAAGGGGATACTTGGGCGATCAATTTCCGTACCTCCCAAGCCAAAGCAAATGGGATGAACCACAGGCGGAACGCAATCCAAAATTCTCCCCATAACCGGCGCCGCGCCGCCCTTCCCGGCCATAATTGCTAGGCGTGCGGCGAGCCGGCGTCCCTGCAGCATTCCGTAAACCTTGTTTTCCATACCTTACGGTAGTCAGCATATCTTATCGTCAATTGAGGTGCTCACTAACTCTAGAGAGGCATCTGACCTCACTCACCAATCACCAGTTCACGGTGCATCACCATAGACATCACGAGATCATATCAGAAGACGGATAATCTAAACAAAGGCACAACTTTTTTTTTGTCTTCATTTCGCTAGACGAAATTGCTATGGACATGTAGCCCACCTATTCACAGGCTAAACCTCGACATAAACATACCCCTCCAACTCTGAGGAGGGGAGAATAATGGCATGAGGACAAGATCCATCAAATGGCGGTTGACTAAACAGCCCAGCAAACAACTTGTCCCGACTCAAGAGACGCTTGAAAGTCGACCAACAAAGATCAAGACACAATTCCCTGGCAAGTAAGAGACGCACATCAGACTGGACTTTGAGGATCCCGCATGCTTCCGCTGCCGCTAGCGCTTCCACTATGGACGCTGCTGCCGCCAGAACCTGACCCTGCGCCGTCGCTCCGTTGACGTCGCGTAAAGGCAAACGTAACGGGCGTGCGCTGGGCCATAGGCTGCTGCGCAGGCGTGTTATGGAGCGACAAGAACTCATCGTCGCCGTTGCTAGACTGCGTGAACCCAGACACATCGCTAAGCATCGAGGAGGAGCGGCCCCTAGCCTTGAGAGAGACAGTGCTCTGGTGCGTAGGCGGATACCCCCACACAGGCTGCAAAGAGGATGCTGGCAGCGGCAACACGGAGCCGGACGCAGTCATGGTGGACGTGGGCCACATAGGCCCGGCAGGCATAACATACTGCGATGCTGCGGCGGACGGCGGTGTCCAGGCTGGCGCGGCGGGATTGTAGGCGGACGACGTGGTCTGAGGCTGGGCGGAATGACGCTCGGGAAGATCATAGGGCATCGCGGCAGTTGTGGCGTAGTTCATGTGCTCATGATATGCCTGGAGCTGCTGTAGCAAAGCGTTAACCTGCTCCTGCTTGTTCGCGTTGGCCGCCTTGATATCCGCAATGCTACCCCGGAAGTTGTTCTCGATTGTCGATGCATCCGCCTGCCAGGCGATACGGGCCTGGCGCCTACGCTCGGCCTCGTCCAGCCCACGGTTGTTGGCATCCGTAATTCTGCCGAGCTCGTTGTCCACCTTGGCGATGCGTGCTGCAATTTTGTTCCGTTTGGTCTGCGCGGCAGCCTGCTCGTCCTCCTTGGCCTTCACAGCCTTGGCAATGGCGGCTTTGTAGTCCTTGTATTCCTTGGAGACGGTATCGAAGACAGCCTTTTCAGCAGCCCAGTCCTTTTCCGTCTTTTTCTTACGCTCATAGAATCCCTCGGGTGTTTTCTCAAACTCCTTGAGTTCCGCTTCAAGCTGGGCAATCTCTTTTTCGGATTGGGCTTTGTTGGTTTCTTGCTGGATAATCTTCTGCCTGTGCTTTTCGTCGTTGCCACCAGCTGTCTGAATCACATTGTCGAGTCTTTCGTTTTCCTTCCTGAGCGAAGCAATCTTGTTCTTCCACTCCTTGCGCAGCGTCTTGAGCCTCGACTTCTCCTCTGCCAGCCGCTCATTATTCGCGTTGATTGTGCTCTTCAGCGTCGTCGCGGGCGAGTCGGGCCGGAGAGACTGTGGCGTGCTGACGGGCGGGTTGGCAGAGCCCTCCTGGTCCTTGTTGGGCGCAAAAGAGGTTCGGATGCTGGTGGAAAAGACAACTCGGTTCGTGCGTGTATCGACAAACTCGCAGACGTACTTGGACAGCGGTCGCAGTCCGTAGATATCACCACACCAGCGGTGTTGACTGGATTGCTCGTGTTGATCATCGTCGTCCTGAATGCGGAAGATACGTGTCGGCTGCCAAAAGGCGTTGTTTACTCGGACGTAGAAGGGTTTTGAAGTGTCGACTCCTGCCGGCCGCGAAACGTGCCCGTTCGGAACAGCGCTCGGGCTGTCGGGAAAGTAGCTGGTGTTGAAGCAGACTTCATCGTGGCCAATATACGATATCCAAATCTGTTCGGCCTGACTGTCGAAGGGTGCATTCCCCAAGTTGTGAATGTCGGTAGCGTTGGAACCGGCTGACTCGGAAGTGGCGTGCGATAACTCGTACTCCTTAACCATGACAATTTTGGTGCTCGCTAGGGCCGCCCACAGCGGCTGCTGAAGACGCACCTGTGTGCTTTGTTTTCTCTTCTTTTTCGTAGACGATACTGTTGCATTTTGTTGGAAAGTGGTGTCGCTATCAGGCGTTGCAAACCCCGTGTCGGTCGTCGCCTCGTTCGAGTACGACTTACCGGCCTCCGGATCCGTTATGCTGTGTGTCGACGGGCTTCCCTTTTCTCTTCTCAGATACCATTCCCTAATGTATCTCACTATGCCCTGTGTTAAAATATGTATGGCAAGTACGCTCTTGATCCACCCGTGCGGCCCTCTCTTATCGAAGCCACGAGTAAATGTTTCTAACGGATCGTCAGAGTCGGGAGAGAACCGCCAGTTGGCAGGGAGAAACTTTGCCGCTCGAGTCCAGTGGAATCTTGAACCGCGTAAAAGGTGCGAGCCTATAACCAGGAAGAAGCAGGTAGTGACGCTCCTCGACGCTCCCTCCCTCGTGTTGGATCCACCGCCCAAAGTGGCGGCGATGACGGGCTTTGCAAAGTCGAGGATGGCGAGCTGCATGGGAGGCCACAGGAACAGCCACACGAGCAGTATGAAGACGTCCATGCAGAGCACCGTAACGAGGGAGGGCATAGTGGAGTTATAGTCAAAGATCTCGGCGAGATTGATGTTCATTCCAGAGCTCGTGGTAACGGGGGGCACAAACGTGAGGAAGGTGAAGACCATGTAGATACCGGAGAGGGCGACGGGAGGGACCTGCATGAGCAGAATAAGAATGGCGAGGGTGTCGTAGAGAGGCAGAGCCCTCAGGACGGTAGCGGCGAACTCGAGGGGCCCGCCAGGGTCGCGATGGACGTCGGCGTTCTTGGTGGCGTTCACATCAATCTGGCGGTGGCTCGCGTCAGCAGCACCATTGCCCATGGTAGAGGAGAGCGAGTCGGACGAGGAGGTCTCGGAGCAGCCGCCTAACGAGGGCCGCCTGGTAGCGGCATCGCCATTTCGGTGGTCAGGGGCCATGGTGGTGCCGTTGCTGTCG